GAGGCGATGTAATCGAAAGGAAGCTAAACATGCTGCTACAAGATTTAACGTCTGCCTCCGTCCATCTGAACTACCTCGGCTGGTTGCTCATCTTCAGGTGTGAAATGGATACTGCCGCCACGGATTCCGCATCATGCATTTCTGGGCACGATCCCACCGTTGGCAAGTACAGAAACGATTAATCCAGTTTCCAATAAATGCACAGCTCTCCCACTGCCCGCAGCGAACAATCTCTCGATGGCTGAACCTGACGCAGACTGAACTACATGGTCGCAACGGTAACGTCGGCGTGCTCGTCTGCGCTCCCAACAGCGACTCACAGACCGTTCATCCACGTCGTCTCCTTCAGCTTTAACTTTCTGGTATTTCGTAATAATGTGCGCGAAATATACAATGGCTAGTGCGATAAACGCAGCTGAGATGTTGCTGAGGTACGGGCGCGCTTGTTTCGCCGGGACGTGCAGCCGGTAGCTGGCACTGAGCTCATTTACCTCATCAACATTTCGACGAGCGTTTTGCGAGTCTAAATGAGGCTCCCCAGGGATACCCTCTACAGGCTTTTCAACCGGAGCGGCGAGGACGGCCGTTGAGATCAGCACAAGCAGCAGTAGAGACAACATCGTCAAAGTTGGTAATGGTGCAGGCAAAATGCGAAAATACAAAGTATTTTAGATGCGTCTTATACTATGGTTACACGCCTACTCCGAAGTCGCACGCTTGCCGCCGACGCTAGCTACCAATCACGCTGCGCTACGTAGGTAAGGTAATAGTTGTAGCAGCATTCAGGTTTGCTACATGCCACTTTTACTGCCTACCGTTTCTATCCAAAAACAATTCTGAAGTCCCTCCCACAGCAATGGATACACGTAAATACGGGCAAGAAAACTGTCTAAGTGCTCTAGACATACAGGAGTCCTCACAATAGGTACATAATTTATGAGGCAAGGCGCCTTGGCCATGTCCAGTGTAATACATCTCCTGGGGTTCATCAGGGTACCTCCAGGTTTACTGGAAAGGTTTATATACGGGCCTCCTAACTTCACACGTAATAAATAAATGGCATAAGTGAGACCATTTCGATTTATTTGGCGGTAGGGACCGGTGTAAGCAATGTAATTCACCCGCTCCTTGCTATGGGCTTCGATTCTGCAAGGCAGACCAGGGAGCGCTGGAAACAAGGTAACGCAGAGCCCTAGCACTGGAAGGACGACGAACAAAGTTGTTTCTGGTATATTTAACATATTTTTAAATGTAATGATGAACATACGTGGAATATGAAGGATTTTACCTCTAGTCAATGACACGACCGGATGTATACTATAACACTTGCTCTCTGGCCTTAGGACAGAAGCGAGCTGCAATGAAGGTAAGGAGTTAAAGTAAGAGTTTCCCAAAGCCGCTGACCTCCTTC